GCCAGCGCATGAGCATGGCACGAACAGCGAGCGTGGCCGAGGGGCAGGCTGGAGTCGACGTCGATATCCGAGCCGATGGCGACGTGACGGACGAGACGCTGCGCACCATTGTCTGTCGAGGCATTGAGCTCAATGTGGAGGAGCTCGGGGCCGCATTGGAGCAGATGCGCAAAGACATGACGGAAATATTGGACAAGCAACTCTTGCTGGACTCACGCCTGCGGAAAGATTACGAGAAAGAATATGAGCGGCTGCGATTGAAGGAGGATCGGACCAACAGGGTCAAGAACTGGTGGGTGGGCCATGGCAGTCCAGCCGAGAACGTGCTGTTTGATCACATTGGCCAGACCCCGAGTCTGCGGCAAGAGTTTATCCAAACGGAGCATGGGCCCGGTGGCGAGCTGACCTTTCGAGAGGACAGGGTGCGGACATGGCTCCTATATGTGTGCAGGTTCAACGAGCTAGCACTCACCTACACGCACATTGCCGGAGGTACGATTGGAATCAAGCCGTCTCCTTTTTTTTTTTTTTTTTTTTTTTTTTTTTTTTTTTTTTTTTTTTTTTTTTTTTTTTCTTGCGCCACTCATGCCTGTTTGCATTTGACTAGGTCTGCCGCCACGAGCCTCTGTGTATCAAGGGCTGTCCTATAAAAATGGCGTGGGCCGGCAGCGAGCCGCGTTTTTTGCCGAGAAGCAGCTCTCCATATTGACCCGCGTGAGCAAGACCTACTGGCTGTCCCTGAACGAACAGCACACCTTTCGATACATGGACCAGGAAATCAGCACGCTGATATTCATGTATTTGCTGCTGTGCAAGCCTCTGGAGCACATGCTGAGCAGCTGGCTGCAAAAGCGGGGCAGCCTGAAAACCCCCGACGACGAGAATGGCATTCACAATGCCGAGCAGGACGACGAAGATTTGCTCGACGACGAGCTGGATGAAGACCACATGAGCCACGACGAGACGATGACATTGCGACGCGAGGTCCGGGACGCTCGAAACCACTACAACAACAGCCACCTGCTCTTCAACATTGCGCCCCTGCAGACGATGGTCAGCCCAGCCACCATTTATGCGGCATTTCGTCGACAGATGACCACGTACCTCGGCCAAAGCTGGGGGTGGCCACATGGCGACACGCCGCAACCTTCTGGATGACGACGTTTGTGATTAACCGACTGTCGGCCGAGACGACCGGCGCCCTGGGTAGCCTGATTCACACTCAAGCTCAAAACTCTGGGGACACGGCCCAGCGGGCCTATGCACGCACAGCCAGTGACCATGTGCAAACCAAAATGTCGTCGCGACTGATGCATCAAGTGGCCTCGCAAAAATGGCATGCTTTGTTTGGACTAGATCGCAAGCGCAGCATAGCCGAGTTGACCGCGAACCAAGAAGCATTGGAAGCTCGCTATCCCATCAGCTGGAACCCGGTGACTGACCTCTCGCCCGAGGCAAACGGGCGTATCATCATGAACACGAGGGCCGAGCATGACGTACCCTACATGACCCAGCTGGCCAAGCAGGCGAGCATCTCCTGGGGCCACAGTTTCAACAGCCAAGAACAGTTGGACCTGGC